AAGTAACTCCTGTAGTGTGGGTCTCTTGTAATGAATTATTTCAGTTTTTGCACACAATGAATGCACAAAGTACACCCCACTAAATGTAATAGATTGTTTACTGTCTACTAATAACTATCTATTTCCTCATCTAATTCTAACATCTGTGTCACTTAAGGGTTTATTTTGATGGAGATTTCTCATTTTTGATCATCTTACTCTTTCTTTGCATGCAAGGTAATTTGCCCTTTTTAAAAAGAGTATTTTTGCTGGGTATAGAACTCTAGGGAGACTGTTTTTTCCTTTCTAATTTAAAGACGTCACCCCACTGCCTTCTGACTTCCATTGTTGTCTTCTGTTGTCATCCTTATTTTTGCTCTTCTGTAGAAAATGTGTCTTTTTCTTTTTCACTGCTTTTAAGATTTTTCTTACAATGGGATCTAAGATGTATGATTATGATGTGCCATGACACATGTTTTCTTGTGCATGGGGTTTACATTTCTCATTGGCTATGGTGTTTGACTAACCAAGTTATATATATGTATATTGTGTCACTTGAAATTCTTTATTCAGTTTTTGTTTGTTTTTTTTCAAAAGCCCTTTTCTGCCCATGTTCTCTTCTGGAGGGTTTCTGCTATCACTATTAAACTGTTTCCTCAATGTTGTCTAATAATTAATCTTATCCATGTAATTCTTCATCCCACATACTGTAGTTTTTAATCTCCAGAGGTCCAGCTTGGGCCTTCTCTATACCATCCACTACTTAACTTCTTGAATGTATATGTTTTAATGCCTTCATCTACTAATTCTAACATCTGTGCCAGTTTAGGGTTGATTTTGGGATTGTGGCATTTCTCCTCTTTATAGGTCATATTTTCCTATTTCTTTGCAGGCCAGATCCCAAAATGGACAGGTTTTATGAGGTCCCGGATATTTAAATAGCTGAACTTTTGTTCAGGGATATAATCTAGTCATTGCAAAAAGACAACTTGATCTTTCCAGGTCTTGCTTCTACTATTTTCAGGCAGGATGAGAACAGTATAGTTTAGAGCTTATTATTTGCCACTCCTGAGGGAAGACCCCTGCTAGGACGTTTTGTGAATTGTGTGGATTCGAGCATGACTGGCAGCTCCTGGCCCCACGTGCATGCCCCTTACCGTCCTGTCTTATCTGCTGCATTTCAGTGGCAGTAATATTGCTCCCAAAGGGGAAAACTAGTTTTGGAGAATACTTCTTACTATTTTTCGTCTATATCACATATACACACAACGCATATAAAACACATACACATAGTTGTACAGATATCCATGGATATCTGTGATATAAAAATTTCATGGAGTGGTCATGAAATAACTGTCTACAATGACTTCCATGGTGGTTGATGGTTTTAGAAGGTTGAGAATTGCACTCACCATTTTGAGAGCCTGGGCCAGTTCCACACACACTGAACACTCACCCTCTACAGGGCTGTTCTCTGAGCCCCTCTACTGACTTGGGCACCCTGCCTGGCCTGAGGACTCCAGCCACCTTGCTCTTCCAGGACTCCCAGCTCTGCTTGACTCAATGTCTTTCGGGCTTGGCCTGGCTTTTCCCTGCTGGGACCAATGCTGGGAAACTCTCCAGGTAACCCTCTGGGAAACCATAGAACTCACCTCATTTGTTTCCCTTCTCTGTGCCTGGGTTCAATGTGTGTCATTCATATATATACACACACACATCTGTTGATTGATTGATTGATTGATTTGTGTGTGGGTCTAGTTTTGGTTCTTTTACACAGGAAACAAATCTGTTTCCTATTACTTTTACTTTGTCTTAGTTGAGAGTAGAAGTTAGCTGATTCACCTTTGAATGGAATGGATTTGGTGGAATCACAAATCCTCCTTTTCTGCATGGTTAGTGTTTCTGTAGCAAATTAATTCTTATGCAATTGCAGCAGTATAAAGGCTGCTGATTACCTTTTAAAGGTAGAGCCCATCTTACACAAAGCCTGGCAAGCAGATAGCTACTAAAATTATTTACGTTTCCCAGGCTTCCTGTCAGTTCAGCGGCCAGTGTAGTGTCTAGGGCCAGTGGCAGAAACCCCAACATTTGGATCTAACATGTAGTGGGCCAGGGGGCCACAGTGAACAATTTGGTGAATCAGGAACAGTTTTAAACAACTATAGCTGTTCACTGACAGACCTGAAGTTAAAATGCCCCTAGCAGGACTCAGGCATGGAGGGAGGTGTGAGAGGGAGGCAGCGAGGCGAGCCAGGTGTCCACCTCCACAGGTGTGGACCTCCCAGTCTTGCTAAAGCCCACTCTGCAGAAGCAGTGTGGCACATGCATCATGGGGCTGCTAGCTGCTGGCCATAGCTGTGGTGCCCAAGGGAGAGATTTTTAATTTTTTTTTATACTTTGTTACAGTTTTATTAAATGTATAGCCACATGTGGCGGGTGGCCATCACACTGACAGCTTCCTAGCTCCATAGAGGATGTTCAAATGTTTGGGAGACAGTTACCACAAGACTCCAAACCAGGAGGGTTGAGCAGAACATGTCCTTGGCACTGAGGCTATAATATATATTGTATTTCCTCCTCCTACTTTGAATATTCCGTATCTGTCTCCTATTCGGTTCTGTGGCCGGAATGCTCACCTCACCCTGTCATCTCAGTGGTACTGCAGTCCAGTCCCAGAGATGTCGACACAAAGCCTACAAAGCTCTTCTCGAGGGGGCCTCTTCTGCCTCTCATTGCCCGCATGAGTGCCCGTCTCACCACCCTCCCCTCCAACACTTGTGCAGCCTCGATCGCTGCCAGCTCGCGTGGTCTTGGCTTTCTCAGGAAATCGGTGGCAGCTTGTAGTTTCCTCTTTGACAACGTGACTTTGCCACTCTCTCTGTAAAAGGAGTTGATTCTCTCCACCCTGTGAACCTGGGCAGCCTTGGGCCACTTGCTAGGATGCTAGAATGCAGCTCAAGGGACCTTCTGGGACTTCAGAGATGGCCTCGAGCCACCTGGAGGACTTGCCATGTCCGTCAGGGTGTTTTGGATGCTCAGTTGGGGGACTGATCCCGCCAGGAACCCAGGGCCAGCGATGAGAAGTCTGAGCCACACGGAGGGGGGCGCCCAGGCAGCCGGGCGGGCTGCTCCACCTCCTTCCCAAGAGGGGTGAGGCCCCTGGTTTACTCTGACGGGCCCCCCTTTCCAGAACACTTTGTGGGACGCATACAAACCTGTCTTTTCATTCCCACTAAACTGACCATGTGTCTACTGTGCTCTGCACCTCTGTCCAGCTCTGTGTCCAGGCTGCGCTTCACTGGTTGGGATACTTCTAATCAGTTCAGTGTGGACTAGTGAGGAGCGACTGTGAGGGTGAACGGCGTGACTCGACTCACTAATCAAACCAGCAGCACTGTTTGTATTTCACCAGTCAGCTCCACGGGCACCCTGCATTTACCAGCGGACACGAGGGGAGTGTGGGCCGAGTCACCTGCTGCCACAGCCGGCACACAGGTGCAGGAGTCTCCTGAGTTTGACCAGAGGGTTATGGTAAAGCCGACGCAGGTTCAATCCAGCTTGGTCAGTTAGTCCTTTACAAGATTGTTTATACAGGGCTTACGCGATAACCTTGGTCCTCGCCCGTGGGATGAATGTCTTCCATTTGAAGGGGGAGAGAGAAGCAAATAACGCACACAGCTGCAGATGCAGACTCAGCTGATGCGGTGCCTTCTCCTAGTAAAGCACAAATAGTAGCGATTCTGTGACTGGTTTAAACATCCTTGGCTTATTCCTTTGAAGAGAAAGATCAAAAGGAAGTTGATGATCTTCTCTGAGGAGCTGTGGAGCAAACCCCAGACCAGCTTGAGTGCCAGCATAACCCCGACAGACTGTTGCACCGAGTCTCACATTTCATGGTACGTGTCGGCAGCTTCTGCCACTGGGAAAGAATGAGACGAGGAGCCTGAGACACTGTGGGCTCTCACGCTGCTGCTTCTCGGCCTGTAGTGCTACAGCGAATACACATGCCTGGCTCTGTCACCCAAGTCACCTAGTAGCCACTAGAGCCACTGTCCAACTTCATTATATCTGAAAAGTCATTTTTCATGGTTTCTAGATTTTCACTTTCAGTCAACACATGTTGCTGTTTACTCGGCAGCTAGTGCCCGGAGTGTTAATGGTAATCTAAATTGCATCTTGTATTTCTCATCTTCTGCATTTACTTTTAATTCTTTGCTCTTTTCTATTTTTCTCCTGTATGGTGTTCATTTCAGCGCTAAGAGCCTGAACTACCAGCAGCTTGTTAGCTGGTAGCCTGTGCAGGGAGTCTCACTATTATTCATACCACAGGTAAGTTTAATTTTCTAACTGGAATGACATCTAGTGAAGAGCTAGCCGGAGGCCCTCCTTAATTGGAACTTACTTCTCGAGTGCAGATGACAAGAAGTGAGCCAAGAGATTGTTTAAGAAAATATTTAAGAGTCTGGGCAGAAATAAATATATCCATCTGCTCATCTCCCTAATGGCCAGGAAATCACTAATGAGACGCCAAGTTGGAGATACGCATACTTACCTGGCTCATGTACTCAGTTCACACTGAAAAGAAAACAGACCAATCAGAAAGGAATTGTTGAAGATTTAGAGAGTGCTTCCAAAATCTAAAAGCAGTTTTGGTTTGTGAGAAACAGTAATTAGGCTGCAGTGTGCAGCATCTTCAAAACCAGGATGGAGTTTGGAAAATAAAGCCTTGGAATAAAAACCCTGCAGGCCATGGGAAGGAGACATCTGCCCCAGCTACCTCTGACCACCACCCTACCAGCCCAACCTCCCCTGCCAGCCCAACCTCGCTCAGCATGAGCACAGAGAGGAAAGAGGCATCCTGTTTTCTTTGGTCAGCTGTCCCGCCACTGGTGCCTTCCTAAAAGCACAGTCATCCAAGCAGATTTTTCTTTCCAAGCTGTTCAACAAACCAGTAGCTATTAAGAACAGAATATTTTGAATTAAAAAAATTGAACTTTCATTAAATGCACATACTGTCATCAGAGAAATATCATAAAACATTTTTTTAATGTGAACGCTACTTCATACAATGAAAACTTATTTACAGTGTGTTGCTTCCTTCCACTGGCTGATTTTCCCTCCTGAACAGACCCAGCATGTAGCTCTGGCCGGGGAGCTTCAGTCCCATCATCTCGAACGTCACAGCTCTCCGAGGTCCTTGGGGATCCAGGAAATCTGTCCACTCACATCTCCTCAGTAATTATGGCTCAGCAGGCATGCCATCAGAGTCGTCTATAACCCAGAGGCTCTGGCACTCACACTCAAGAAAAATGTGTAGATTGGGTTATCTCCAATAAATACTAATTTGACAACATGATCCATTTCTAGCTTAAATTGTTTTCCGTTGGGAAAACATTTCTTTCTCAAGGGAACTAGAGAGAAAAGTCGGGTTCACACTGAACTGACCTACGATGTCCTTGTATACAAATAGTGTATCTTGGCCAGGAATATAATTTCTTGTTAAAGAGTTTATTTGCCTTCACACGCAGATTGCTACAAACATTCACAGCTTTAATAGACAGTAATTAGCTATTCCAGTTGTGCTTTAAATCCCAAATATTATTTTAATTAGTGGGTGCAAAGCAAATGTCCCATTTGACTACAGTTGGTCCTAGAGTTATAAACTCCAAAGTGATTTCTAGAAAGTTCTCTCATTCTCCAGTTTCATCATTTGCTTTCTCAGGGATGGCTTCCAGGCTCCTGCGTGGCTTCTGAACGTCGGTGTTTTCTGTACCTGGCTTATTTAGCCCACATGAAACAGCAGCGTAGTGGATTTGTTTTAGATTCTCCAGAGTCTCATTTTTAGCATATTTCAAAAGATCTGCTTGTCCCTGTAACAAAACAAACATGGAACAGTGTTAGGTGGACTCATTCCTGCATTTGGATAATACAGTTCTTCCATGAAATATTTTATTTCACCCCGAGGGCACATTTCTTAATGACACTGCATATCGCTAGGTCAATTCTAATAAAAAAATAATAACTTGTTTTCCGAGTTTTCAAGTCCTGCTCTTCTGTCCTTTCCATTATAAACCTGAAGCTTTCTTGTGAAAATGGTATCTTTTGCTAATTGTTTGATCAGCCTCCCCCCACCCCATGTTTTTTAGTAACAATCAGTGTGAATTCACACAACGCACCGAAAGTTATGTAGCTACAGCCCCACACCCGCAGGCACGGCCCGAGTCCCAGCTCTGGCTCACGCCCCCTGTGAGCAGTCACGTGCGCCTGCTGCCACCCCCCAGGACAACCCTCCTCTGCTCGCTGGCATCAAGATTTGCTTTGGCAGCGGGAGTGTGTGGTCTCAGCCACGCAGCAGGACCTGCCGCCTACTTGCTAAGAGGAGGAACCACACAGACTTCTCCACGCTGGAGCAAGTTCCCCAGCCAGACTTTAACTTTCTCGATGTGACCAGCAGCTTGACGCCTGCGCAGCATGTGCACAGGTCCGAACGCCCTGGGGTGTGCTGCCACAAGGCCACCGGGAGTCTGGCTCTGCCAGTGAAGTGTGCCAGTTGGACATCTAGCCAGAGGACTCTCTTGATGGTCCCTGGGGGTGCTGCCTTGCGCCTCTTAGGGTATTGGCAGCATCCCTGGCCTTCACCCACTAGATAGCAATAGCGCCCCTCAGTAGTGACAGCCAAGATGCCAAATGCCCCCCCGGTGGGGGTGAGGCTGCCCTTGGGGGAGAACATGTCCCTTCACTGCGCTTTGCTTTGCTGTCCCATATTTAAATTGCCCTCCACCAACAGACCTCTCTACTTACACTGTTGCCGTTCTTCTTTCTTTTCTCCTTGCTCACATGTCCCCCCTCCCCTCAGACCCTCAGTTTGCTCTGATTCTCTCTAACTCTCCCTCTCATTTAGCTTTTTCTCTGACGTCCTTAGTTAGGTCCCCGGTACCACCCGTGGGTGTGCTCTCTTGAGCACCGGTACCACAAAGGCTTGGGGGGCATCTGTGGAGAGTCGGGGAAGTAGCTGCCTTGGGGGCCGCTGGTCTGTGTCCACCTCAACCCCACAATGCAACGTTAAGTCACTGTGGGGCCCGAATTCACACAACGGTTTGCTATTGACCACCTCGTGTTGTGATTTCCTGCTTTACAGAACCCGTTAGGAATTACGAATGGGTGTTCCATTGCTCGTTTAACCATGACGGACCTTCACCTGTGTTCATTCTTACTAGGCATGAGCACCATCTAGGCCCCCTCTCCTCCCCCAACACCTGGCCAGCTCTGATATTTTCATTGTCTTCCTAGTTTTGTACTTCTGAGGACATTTTCAGATTCATCCCTTCACGTAGAAATAGGTATCTGAGGTTCCTCCATGTCTTCCGTGGCTTGACAGCCATCTCTGGACCCACTGTGGTTTAATCCACCCCCTACTGATGGACACCTCAGTTACCTTCCAAGTTCTGGCAATTAAGAAAAAGCCATTACAGTACCCACGTGCAGGATTTTGGGTCGACGTAAGTCCTCAACTCATTCTGGTTGACACCAAGAGGGGTCTGACACGTGCCATCTGGGAAGGGTATGCTCAGTGGGCGACAAGTTTTCCACATTCACTCCATCAGCAGTGAGTTCCTGTTCCACATCCACACCAGCGTGTGATAGGTCAGTCTTAGGGCATCGGCCACTCCAATAAGGCCGAGGTGGTCTCTCGCTGACATCCAGTTTGCAGTTCTCTGACGACACACTTCACGGCCTCTTTCACACATCCACTTGCCACTTGGTGAGAGGTCTGCATTGGTCTTCTGTCCACTACCTCAGTCAGGCTGCCTGGAGAGTTATTTTCCATGGATCATGCCTCTTGTGTTGCATCTGAAAAGCCAACCAGCTTTCCTCCTGTTCTTGGAATTTCTACATTTTACACTTGGGTCTATACTCTGTTTCAATTTTTTATGAAAGGTCCAGATTTCTTTCTCTTTTTTGCCTGTGACTGTCCAAACGTTCTAGCTCCATTTGTTGAAAATCGTTGCCTTGCTCTGCCATCAGAGGTCAGCGGGTTCTCTGAGCTTTGTAATGGTCTCACTGACCTGCTTGTCCCTTCACCAGTGTCTTGCTGTCTTGATTCCTGCAGCTCAACAGTAATCTTGGAGACTTACTGCACGCACTGCTCCCCATGGTTCTCACATGACTCTGAGTCAAAGTCCTGTCCACAGCCCTCAGGAACTGCCCTCTTCTCTCTTCTTTCTATGCTTTATCAAGACTCAGTTTACTATTTTGTTGAGGACCTTTGCATCTGTATTTATGAGAAATATTGTTCGTTTTCTTTCTTGTGATGTCTGGTTCTAATGTAAGGGTGAGCTGGCCATGGCGAATGTGTCAATATTTGGAAGTATCACTTCTCTGCTTCCATCATCTGGTGTAATTTCTTCCTTTCATGTTGCACACACGTCACCAGTGAACACACCTGAGCAGGTGCTTTCTGTTTAGAAGGTTGTTAATGATTGATTGAAATAAGCGAGGTCCACCTCGTGTTTCTCTTTTGTTGAGTCTTGGCAGATCATGTCCTTCAAGGGACTGGTCTATTTCACCAGACTCTTCCTCATATCCTGTGTGTGTTTGTGTTTCCTCTCACTGCCACCTCTCTGGGTTTATGACGGTACCATGCCAACTGGCCACCTTGCTTCTTCCATCCCCACACCCCATGAAAAGCAGTCTGCACGCACCTCTCCCTCATGGTTCTCACATGATTCAGGTCAAAGTCCTGTCCACACATTTAGAAAGGCACATTTAGAAAAACAAATGCTTTCATTTGAAGAGAAAAACATTTGCATATAAATTCCCAAGATGTCAATAGCGTAGTGATTGTGGGTGACACGATTTTGAAATGAACAGGCACGTGAGCTAGTAGTCATAAAAACTCGGGACGGACATCCTTAGATCAAGGAGCTTTCCCGGCAGCCTCCGTGGGGCGAGCAGTCACTGATGGTCCTCAGTGGCGTCCTCCCCGGTGGCTGGCCACCCTGCCTCCTCTGTTGTTGAGATGCGTAAGGAAGGGCACTCTGGATCTCATTCTGTGGCAGTGGGGTATAATTTTGGGCGTGCTTCAGAATCCCAAGAACCTTGAACAAGCGGGTTTCTGCTTCTCCTCCCTGGAGATTGCCCCAGGTGTCCGCCAAGAGCACACACGCGTGATTAGCACCTCAGGTGACTCCACGCCTGGTCTTGGAGTCCTGAAGCTCCCTCAGAACAACTTCCTGCCCTCCACTGTTTTCAGCACCATCTGACGCCTCCCCTCAGCCTCTGTACCCCAAGGAGGGCACCCCATCTACTGCATACCACGGACAGCCCTGAGGACACCATCGGGCCCTCTGAGACGAACTGGAGGGATCTCGTTCTCCCTGCCAGGACAAGATTGGTAGTTCAAGTCGGATCCAGATTCAACATTCGAGACTCCAGGTGCACTGATTCTCCGCAAGAAATATTAAGCCTGTGAAATACACAGGGCTGAAAAATTCCTTCCATTGCATAGAAACCACACACAGATCTCTCCTACTCCCATCCCCAGCTTTGGCTCTACCACCCATCGCAAGTAGAACCCTGGAGTTCTTAAAAAGATTGATCGATTATCCTGTCTTAAAATATTTATTTCCATATGAGCATAAATGTCAGGCGTTCATTCTGTCTCCTTAACTCAAAAGAAAACAGGTTTTCACAGTGTAGTTGTTTTGTTTAGTTACTGATATCTAAAATTTGGTCCACGACTGTATGTTAGCTGCTTTTCATCATGATGGGCATGAGGTCCCCAATTTTTGATGGCTTTTAGCCTAGAGCTTCTCAAACTTAATGGAACTCTGCGCGCCTGGGATGAGGCTGAGACTCCGTATTCCTACCAGTGCCCTTCTGATGCCCAGGCTGCTGGACCATAAACAAGTAGCTGACAGGTGAAAGTCTGGTCCCTACATCTGCTTTTTTCCTATAAAGAAACAAAAGTAAAATGAGCATTTGTTCCTATCACATGTTAAACTGCTGTGCTGTTTTTTCCATGAGGGGTACAGAAAATCTGTAGCAGGGAGTAAGTCAGCAAGTTATAGAGCCAAATCCCTATAGCTGTTGTTTACCGAGCTGCAGACTATCAGTTAAATTCTAAGAAGATCTAAAGATAAGAGAAATACGTGGGTAGGAATGGGGAATGTTAGAAGAAGTCAAGAAAATGATTTTAATTATAAAATTGAATCAGGGTTTAACGTGAGAAAATGCAAGTTGGCTAGCTTTGGAAAGGCGACTTTTTATTTTTATTAAATCAAGTCAGAAAACTGTTGTCAGCCTCAGGGATGGATCTTTTCACTTGAAGGGGAACAAGGAAATTAAAAGAGGCAGCTGTGATAATGTCTTTACAGTTTTGAATTCAACCGCACAGAAACTTGGGAGGGTGAATACCAGGGAGTAATTTTACATTGAGCTATCCAAGATCCAGAGAGAAATATGTCAAGCTCCCAAATACCAAGAAGAAGAAGCGCAAAGACCAGTGAGACAGACAAGTTTCCAGGTACAGATACTGGCTTATTGGGAAACAAGCCCTGGGCTGGCTGTGTGTCTGTGCCTTTGCTTATTGCTACTGGGGTATTTCCAACTGTTGAGTCACCACACTGATAAACGGAGCCTAACTCCGGCTGCCCAATGCAGGGTGCCGCTGAACGAGCAAGACCCTGCTTTTTACTGATAGAGTCGTCGCAGAGCGTCAGTTACGTGCATGGGGAAACTAACACACGTGCTTAAGTCATCTAGGGCCTTGGGGGCACACGAGCCTGCTGACCAGAGAATTCTCATCTGCTTGACAACCAATGTTGCCATTGAGATCATTCTCCCGGCCAGGGTTCCTATGTTATCAACAAGGTGTCCCACCGATCAGCTTCTGGGGTCCCTTGTCATACATCAGTCAACAGCCTGGGTGCTCCCAGTCATCCCGTGTGATGCACACCTTCCCAGGGTGCTCGAGCTTTCTGCTCTTGACTGCTCTGAAAGGCACCCTGTAAGGCTGGGCACCTGGGACTCACTGACCAGGGGCAGTCCTGACTCGGTACGGGAATGCAGGACTGCAGGTAACAGAAACTGTGGCCAAACGGACTGCTTCAGTCTGGCAGAACCACAAGCAGCCTTGCGAATATATTGCTTTTTAAATGGTCATGCTGAGATTGCGAGGAAGGAAGAGACAGAAACAGATGGTTCCTCCCTTGAAGGGACGTTCCTGTTCTTATTTTCTTTTGGTTATATTAATGTTAAGGCTATGATCATCCTTTAATGTCCAAGTAACTGGCATCTTTAAGTTCCCAAGCATTCCTGTGATCAGCCTTTTCCCTTTCACAGGTAGCAGGTGATGTTCATAAACTCACCAGGGCGTCGAGGATGAAAGGCCGGGTTCTCTCCCTTCCCCAGAGCCCACATTGTGCTAATGGTTCAAGTTGCCACGTTCCCCGGAGCCACGCGGCCCAGCTGTGGGCCTGCACATGCTCCCTGGACTCTGAGCTGAGCGCTGACCACAGCGGCTGGTCGTCACTGTGGTAATGCCACCCGAGAAGGAAGAAGCCGGTAGAAAAGACAGCCAAGTCCCGAGCATCAGAATCTGCTCTGCTAGATACCTTTAAGATGGTGATGTTCCAGGTAAAGCTCTCCACTGCTTTTTGTAGTTTTCTTTCCTTCAAACCTTCCTTGGTGCCTATGCTGTGCAAGTGTTCATGGAATTCCATGGCTAAGAGAAAGAACAAGCGCATGTTAGTTTTCCTTCTACTCTGCGGTAATAAGCCAGCAATACTTACTTCTCTGAGTCTAGCTAAAGTGATTCTAGCCTCCAATGGAACTTTGTAGATGTACCTATTGAGAAGAATATATAATAAAGGGGAGACCCTGAAAATTCATGGTACCCACAAGATGTCAGCCTCCTGGGCGTGGCAGTTCCCCGTGGGTTCAGAAAGGCACCGTGATTACGGTGAGGCTTGGCGAGGTTGGGGTACAGGCTGGGGAGAGGCTGGGGCTGGAGCCCAGGTGTTAGGGGTCTTGTGTGGGGGGGCTCCCTCAGCTCTGCCGTCACAGTGGAAGGAGGCCATGTAAGTTCGTCCTGTCATGTTACAGACGACCCGAGACCAGATCCGAGCCAGCTTCCAGGGGAGGATGAGGAAAACCCCATGAGCGCCACTTGGCATTTATATTAGAATTGTTTCCCGTAGTTTACAGGATGGGAAGAGTACTACTGTCATCCCAAATCACCTCTCAGAAGCTCTTCAGGCAGCTACTCTGCAATCATGGAGTAAGTGTGATGATCATTTTACTGGGACTATTTACCTATTCGATTATCCCATCTGGCTACTGGGAATTTTTCAGTCTGGCACCTACATCCCTTTGAAGTCACTGATTAGCCTTGCTTTCTGCCACAGAAGATTCTAGACTTGCTGCATTTCTCATCTCCGAGCTAGCACCAGGTTTTTCTGCAGGGACTGCTGGGTTCCTGCAGTGGGGAATGATATCCAGACTACACTCTGGGCGCAACGAGTGGTCCCGATTGCTGACTTTTTACTGTTTTCTAGGCCTTTTCACTAGACAGGTCTAGGACACATTCTTCCATTAAAAATAAAACAAAACGTAACATCTGGTTAATATTCTGAATTCAAATGTAAGTGTAACAAGGTTTTTACATAAAGTTAGTAGTGACGCATCAAGAAACCTTTTAAGACTGCTGAATCCAGCTGAAATTCTATGTATCCTGGGGGAGGGGTCTTAAATGTGTCTCACTGAGAATGTATGGTAAAAACACTGTTCTAAGGTCAGCTATAATCATTTTGCACGTAGTTTTGTGACTGAAGGTACAATTAGGTAATTTGTTGCTATTGGCTTTTTTTTTTCTTTCTTTTTTTTTTTTTTTGGTGAGGAGAGTGCTTGTCTGGATGTAATTTACCCTAGGATTATGTCAAAAATTCATTTGATTCCAGAGTCAAACTACCTAGCAAGGTGTATTTTTTCTACCCTGATTTTACCTCCTTTGATTCATTTCTTAAAACTTTTCATTAATTGCATGTTTTCTCCTTGAAAACTTAAGCAATGTAATATATCTACGTGGAAAACTCCCTTTCTTTTTTTTTATTTAAAAAGATTTATACATACAGAACTGGGGTACAGGCCAGAGGAGCAGCGGCAGTGAGAGGATTCACCCGAGGCAGAGAGGGGAGCAGAACAGGCAGATCAATGAAGTACACTGCTGTGGGGAGCAGCGGGCGGGTCAGGAGAGGTCTGCCACGCCATGTGGGTCACCTCCCTAGTGGGTGATCGAACTTGTGCTGAAGTGGCTGCGGTTCATGGTGCTGCGCTTTAACCCACAGTGCCACCAGCAAGGGCCTTGGAATCCTCCCTTTCTTATAAAAAGGTAGCACAGTGTGGTACATGGTTCGGTACCTTGGCTTAGTTTTTTCTCATGTAACTGCTAGTGAAGGTCACTCATGACATCCTTAATGACATCCTCACTCTGTAACGGATGCAGGCCTCACCGTGTGGATGGACCAGGATGTCTATCCAGTCCCCTGCTGGTCCCCTACCGATGACCATGGGGGTGTGTCAGATGTTTTGCTGTCACAGATAATGTGCAGTACTTGTAACTCTGCACTTTCAGTCCAGCGGAGCACTCCAGATCCTAACTTCAGCTCCGCTATAAAACAGCTCTTGGTACAGTGATTGTCAGCACCCTTGCTCCTGTGTTTAAACAGTAAGCGAAAGCTGACACACATGATAAGCACCGATTCTTTTTTCTTTCCCCCCACCTTACAGGAATGATGCGCCCAGTTCCTGTCATGCTGATAAGGTGTTAAGAACTTCACTGGCTTCAAGAAAAACAGTAGTAAAATTCATTACATTGTCTAAGAAACTGCCACCCGAACCACTCTTCCTCTCTCTCGCCAATGATGGCACAGAGAACACCCCAATCTGATCACACCCCTCCACCCCGAGCTGGGTCAGCCGGGGGAGGCGGGCGAGGATCACCGCGCTAGTGTGTGCTGTGTCTTTGGTAGTAAGTTCCCAAAAGTCCTAACATGTGCAGGTGTTTTCTGTTTTTTTTTTGTACATCAACAGTGAGTATAAAGAGTTCTTACTTGTTTAGGTTAGATCTTAAGCAGTTGTCTTACCATTTTAAATTTTTTCAGCAGAAAAAAATGAGCCCAATGAAAAAAGTCCTTATTTTATTAAACTTTAAAACAGCATCTAGTTTCCTTGCCTAAGTCATACCATTCTGTTTAAAGTACACTGTAAGTTTTAGAGAATTGGTGAAAATGAAGTAAGTAGAAGTTTTCTGACTAAGCCACTATTTCCCCTCACCGCCCGCCTGACACTTTTTTTAATCCAAGTTATTTGTTTTAAAAATTGTTAGTTCTAGCTATGAACCTCACCACCCTCAAAGTATAATTCCAGAAGGTGAAGAGGGTCAGGGCTTCTGCTCTGGGTAAGCTCAGGTGTCCCCAGTCTTGGGAGGACAGTGCCTGTAGGTGACTGGGCAGGAGAAGGCCGAGGGGCCCACTGAGAGACAGTTCTCATGTCCTGAAGTGAGCGTGGCCCGGGCAGTCTCACGGAGAGTGGGTCTCAAACCTCAGTGTTCAACACGGGGGGTGGGGGGGAGAGTTGGTGTTTGAAATGCAGATTCTCGGTGTCACCCCTGAGATTCTGAGGCAGAAGTTCAAGTTTTTAAAAACCCAGAGAGAGTTTTTTAGCAAGTAGTCTAGAAGCTTTCCATCTAAGAGGACTGGGACCACCGTGAGGAACACCAGACTAGGAAGTGAAGAAATGGGCCCTCGTTGGTGGCGCTGCGGGTTAAAGCGCAGCATTACAAAGTAGCTGCAGCCACTTCCGTGCGAGTTCGATCCCTGCCCTGGAGGTGATCCACATGGTGCCACAGACCTCTCCTGACCCGTCCGCTACTCTCCTCAGCAGTGTACTTGGTCAATCTGCCTGTTCTGCTCCTCACTCTGACTCTGGTGAATCCTGTCTGGCACCTCTGGCCTATACCCCAGTTCTGTATGCACAAATAAATGAATCTTAAAAAAGAAAAGAAAATGGGACTGAAGGTCATGAGTACAGAAGACATGTCCAGCAGAGTTACAGATTAGGTTACACCTAAGAATTGTGAATTCAATTAAATGTGGATGATTTTGCCCAGAAGTAGACCTCACATTTGAGTGGCTAGCTCTACCACAACAGGTGGATGAAAAGGCAGTCCCTAAGCGGGCAGGAGGGACAGCAATGTGTTCCTGCCCAGAAAGAAACCCGACGTCAGGGTCAGCACTCTCCTCCCAATTGCACCTTGCTAAGGTGCAGTTTCTCTGGGGAGTGCATGTGCCCAGGGCCTCGCATCCCAACTCAGGCTCCAGTTTCCTGTGCTTATTTCCCTCAAGCAGGGGCTCATCTCTGCTGGGGCCCAAGATCCAGCCTTTAGAGAGTCTCTGTGCCTGTCTAAATGGTGAAATGGAGTCCCACGTTTTATCTTTATAACATCTGCCCAAGAAGCAAGAACATTTAGGAATGACCCCAATGCTGAATAACCGGCAGGTGCTATCTTTGAATCTATTGCCCGTGACAGACCTGAAGGTGAGGTCCTGATGAAAGGTCACTACATGCCGAGCAGCTGAGCAGTGAGAGCCAAGGGACAGCAAACAGACTCCACTCCCCTGAGTACTCCCTACCCAGGTGAGCAGGCCCCCTCAGCCACTCCCACACCTCGCCTGCCCTCGCCAGTGAGCAATCCCGCCATGCCTCACACTGTTTCAATACAAGTGGCAATCAACTCAGAATGTATACCTAGGATATTATATCTGAATCTCATAGAAAGCACAAAACCCATAATAAAGCCAATGATGAAAACCAAAAAGAAAATGAATTTTAGCAACACTAAAGAAAACCATCAAACCTCGAGAAAAAAGAAATGGAGAAGTACTACTACTAAAAGAACTGGAAATCAACTAGCGAAATAAACATCAGTTACCACCTTAAATGTAAATTGGACTGAATTCTCCAAAAGGCGAGTTACCGAACCCAGCAATATGCTATTCACAGGACTTGTATCAGGCAT